GAACCTGCCCCAGGCACACGGGGAAGAGCTGTCTCCCCGCCTGAGCCACCCGCCAGCACCGGCTCCAGGGACGCAGGAGGTGGGGGAGGGGAGACGGTCTGCCAGGGGAGGGCAGGGGTGGGTGGGGCGGAAAGTACAGGCTGTGCCGGTGAACTATGTACTGGGCGCCCCGGTGGGAAGATGCTTTTGGGGAAGGAGTGGCTCTCCACCTCTGGCTGCCCTGAGGAGCCTCTTCCTGCTGTCACCCGGTCCCAGCCTCAGAGACGCCATGTCCTGGGCCTGGGATGAGACTCAGACTTGAGAGTGTGTTAAGAAGAATCTGGCAGCAATCTTGAGTTACTTGAATGGTCCTTCCCTTTTGAAAGGTGCCATTTTCTTATTTTTTTTCTTCATTTCTAGCCGATCTGGCCCCTCTCACACGAGAGGCACCGCCCAGGAGAGGGCCCCTCCTAAGGGTACTTCTGTCAGGACCATTGAAGTCTCTCTCTCTTTCTTCTTTTTCTTTTGAAAATATATTTTTATTGCCCTAACCGGTTTGGCTCAGTGGATAGAGCGTCGGCCTGCGGACTGACAGGTCCCAGGTTCGATTCCAGTCAAGGGCATGTACCTTGGTTGTGGGCACATCTCCAGTAGGGGGTGTGCAGGAGGCAGCTGATCGGTGTTTCTAACTCTCTATCCCTCTCCCTTCCTCTCTGTAAAAAAAAAATCAATAAAAATATATTAAAAAAAAAAAAAAGAAAATAGATTTTTATTGACTTCAGAGAAAAAGGGAGAGGGAGAGAGAGAAACATCAATGATGAGAGAGAATCACTGATTGGCTGCCTCCTGCAGGCCCTCCACTGGGTACCAGCAACCCTGGCAGGTGCCCCAACCGGAATCAAACCTGGGACCCTTCAGTCCGCAGACCTAAGCTCTATCCACTGAGCCAAACCGGCTAGGGCCGTGGTCGGCAAACTGCGGCTCGTGAGCCACATGCGGCTCTTTGGCCCCTTCGAGTGTGGCTCTTCCACAAAATACCACGAGTTTATTTTGAAGAAGTGGCGTTAGAAGAAATTTAAGTTTAAAAAACTTGGCTCTCAAAAGAAATGTCAGCTGAAACTGGTTTGGCTCAGTGGGCAGAGCAGTCTGAAAGGTCCCAGGCTTGATTCTGCTCAAGGGCATGTACATTGGTTGTGGGCACATCCCCGGTGGTGGTTTGCAGGAGGCAGCTGGTCGATGTATCTCTCTCATAGATGTTTCTAGCTCTCTCCCTCTCCCTTCCTTTCTGTGAAAAATAAATAAAATATATTAAAAAAAAAAAAAAAAGAAAAGAAAAGAAGGAAATGTCAGTTGTTGTACTGTTGGTGTTTGGCTCTGCTGAATGATGAGTTTGCGGACCACGGGGCTAGGGAGACCACTGAAGTCTCAGAGCATCACTTGCAATTCTCACGACTTCTGTCCCCAGAGATGGCCTCTTTCGAGGTGGCCCGTCCTCTCCAGAGGGAGGGGGCCAGGCAGCCGCCTTCTCAGCGCCCTGACTGCATCTCAGACCCAGCAGAGAGCTTTTAAGTGTTTGCACCCGGTCTTCCCACGCACACACGTGCACACTTTTCCCCCACTCCTGCTGTTTTCATGAAGGGGCTGGGGGCGGGGGGGGGGGAGAGAAGCACAGCCGCCCCAGGTTTCATCCCACCATAGGCCTGGCAGCAGTCCAGCAAGATAGCCAGCCCCACCTTTCCCCAAAAAATATCCCTGAGTCACTGAACCCGGGCGGAGCCCTCAGAGTGACAGTGAAGCAATCTGAACTTGAAAAATGGCCTGGGAACAGAATGTGTGGTCTACATAAACAAGTCCTGGGCAGAGGTGATTGTATGCAAATGCTCATGCTTTCACTCAGTGAAGGCTTCCTGCTAGTCCTCCCCATGCTGCCTCAGCCCTGCGGCAGTTCAGGGTCTAGCAGGGGGTCAGAAGTGAAAACAAGTGTGCATTCTACTCACACGTGTGCCCAGAACTGTTCAGAGGAGGAAAATTAAGGCTGGGTGGGAGATTTGTGTTCAGATTCTTTTTTTTTTCTTCTATACATTGAGTGGCCAGATTGTTATGACCTCTGAATGCATAATAATCTGGCCACTCAGTGTGTATGTGCATATATATATATATATATATATATATATATATATATTAGAGGCTCAGTGCATGAATTCGTGCATGGGTGGGGTCTAGCCAGCCTGGCCAAGGGAGGGGATATGGGTGGTTGGCTGGCCCGCCTGCTGGTCGAACTCCTGGTTGAGGGGACAATTTGCATATTAGCCTTTTAATATATAGCATATACACAGAGTGGCCAGATTATTATGCGCTCAGAGGTCATAATAATCTGGCCACTCAGTGTATATACTAGAGGCTCAGTGCATGAACTCTTGTGCGGGTGGGGTCTCAGCCTTGCTGGCAATGGGGGCCGATTGGGGTTGGCTGGCCAGCATGTGGGGGAGGGACCACAGGAGGTTGGCTGGTTGTGGGAACACACTGACCACCAAGCAGTAGCTCCTGCATTGATATTCTGCCCCTTGGTGGTCAGGGTGCGTCACAGCTACTGTCCAGTCATAACAGTAGCTTAGGCTTTTATATACATAGATATTATAAAATTGATTTCAGAGAGGAAGGGAGAGGGAAAGATAGAAACATCAATGATGAGAATCATTGACCAGCTGCCTCCCGCATGCCCCCTACTGGGGATTAAGTCCACAATCCGGGCACGTGCCCTTGACTGGAATCCAACCTGGGACCCTTCATCTGCAGGTTAACACTCTATTCACTGAGCCAAACCCGCTACGCCAGACTTTGAATACAGTCGTTTTTTATTTTTATTTTTATTGTTTGAAGCATTACAAGTCGTAGTACATATGTCTCCCTTTTTCCCCTCTTTGCCCTCCCCCCCATGCCTTCACCTGCCCTCCCTTCCCCCCAGTGAACACAGTCTCGAAGGATGCGTAGGAGTTTCCAAAAATAAAGACAGGTTAGAAAGGAAGGGACATGGTAGAGAAGCATTAAGTGTTTAGGAATGGGGAACTATTTCCTTCCGGAAAAGGAGAGGATTCGTAGGAAGGGGCTGGAGGAGGGAGATAAAGCATGACCAACCCAAGGAAAGAGTGTGAAGGACCTCGTTTGCCTAAACAGTGAAGTCTGGGCTTTTTACTCAGAAAGGCGTGCCGGGCCAATGGAGGGTCTTGGAGGAGTGATCTCTTTCTCAAGTCTTGTTTTTCAAAGGCTACAGGCTGAGCGGAGGACACTGGAAGGCAATTAACATTTACTCAGCAATTCCTGTGCATTCTCAGCATTTTATACCATTTTTATTGTATCAACCCTTTATGAGTGGTCCCCCCCCCCAAAAAAAAAAATCCAAGAAAGAAAGAAAAGGGCAGAGAGAAAAGGAAATAAATAGGGCAGGATTAAAAATATCAGGGGAGCCGAAGCCGGTTTGGCTCAGTGGATAGAGCGTCGGCCTTCGGACTAGAGTCCCAGGTCTGATTCCGGTCAAGGGCATGTACCTGGGTTGCGGGCGCATCCCCAGAAGGGGGTGTGCAGGAGGCAGCTGGTCAATGATTCTCTCTCATCGATGTTTCTAACTCTTTATCCCTCTCTCTTCCTCTCTGTAAAAAAAATCAATAGTAAAATATATTTAAAAAATAAAAATATCAGGGGGAAAGTATTGATTTTGGAAACTTTATTACAGTTTTGGAAACTTTATTATACTCCTCTCCTAGGAGTATAAGTGTATTGGCCCAGGATGCAAACGTATTTCTCCCTGTGGGGTGTGGTTGGTTTGTTGTTTATTAAAGGAAAGTCGCCCTCTAAATGTGGGTGTGCCTAGCCTCACTTTACAGGAGAGGGCAGGGCTCTGAGTCTTGGCACCCTGTCCCTCTGCAAGGGGGTGTGCCCGTTCCCACCCAAAGCTGGTAGGAAGGCGGAGTGGATTCCTTCTCACTAATTCGAGGCAGCCTCCCCGACTTACCGGTCCACAGGAAAGACCTGGGGGGACAAACCTCCCCGGATGGCACCTGCCAGGGGCTTGACTCACAGCATCTCTAAGGGGGGGGTGGGGCAGATACCACCTCTGTCCACCGGAGGCGCTGCTGCGAGGGCATATTCCAGGGGAGACCAGGGCTACAGAGGATTGGAGAGGAGACCCGGAATCCAGCCCCGGAGCTGCAGGTGCTGCTGAGGCCCACACCTGGGGGCCGTCAGGGAGGGGGTCGCAGCCATAACCCGGGAGGGGCTGGAACTGAGACGATGAAAACAATCCCATCCCCCACAGAAGTCACGCAGCCCCAACTCCCGCTCGGTATCCGGTGCCTCGTTTTACAAAGTTGCCCGGGAGCGCATTTCCTTCTCCGGAGGCGATGGAGGGCGAGGGACTAAATCAAAGGCTGGTGGCTTCCCACTCACCAGGAACGGGATGGAGTGGCCGGAGGGTAGGAGCGCCATGCTACACACCACGGCGACACCGGAGTGAGATGTAATTTGCACGCTCTTTACAGGGCTTTTCGGGGGGGGGGGGGCCTCACCCTGCGGACTTGTGATTGGCTTTAGGGCAGATCTATCACTCATCCTTTGGGTTAGAGGTGGGTGGAAGGTCAAACACGACCAATAGGAAATCAGTCCTCAAGACAAGCCCCGCCCAGCTTAGCTTCCTGTTGCTGTCCATCAACCACCCCGTGGGAGGAACTTTGCTTCCTTCCGGTTGGCTGGCGAACACGTCGCTCACTCTTCAGTAGGTTTCCGGTTGGTGCCTTCTACCGTCCATCAGTTACATCTCGCATGTCTATTGGCCAAACCAACGTCGCTCTAGATGCCCGTCTTTGATTGGTTAGGAGTGCTGTCGGTCCCCAATACCCAGCACTCTATTGGTGAACGCTGCCGTCGCTCGGGCGGTGGCGGGCTCCGGGATTGGCGGGTGCTGGGCGGGCGGTGTCAGGCTGTCGGTGGCGGCGGAGGCGGCGGAGGCCAGGGAGGAAGATGTCGTAATGAGCGGTGGGTCTCGGCCGCTGCCGGCGGGGTCTTCCTAGCCCCCATGGGTCGGGAAGACGGGCAGAGGCCGCGGGGAGGGGGAGCCGGGGCCGGGGGGTGCCCCCTGGGGCCGGGCCTGGCGCCGGGGCCCGGCTCCGGGAGGGGCGGGGGAGGAAGGATTCCCGCCCGGAGGAGGAGCGGGGCTGGCCAGCCGGGCGGAGGCACCCGGAAGGGGGCGTTCGACTCCCCGCCTCCTCGGAGCCCGCAGGGCGGGAGGGCAGCGCTTCCGGGGGCTGGCAGGACGAGCGGGCACCTGGGGCCGACCGGTTCCCCCTCCGCCGGGTCTCCCCCCAGAGCCCGCCGCGCTGCCCGGCCCGGGGGATTGCTGGGGCCTGCGCCGCGGAGGCGGCCCACCCCCTCCGCGGGGGCCCTGTGCCGGGAGGGCCCTCCCGCCCTCGGAACCGAGGTGCCCACCGGCGGTGCCGGGCCCGCCGAGTGCAGAGAGGGGCAGGGGGATGCCCGGCACTCAGATGGCGCCGAGCACATGGGCGCCGCCGGGCACAGAAGCCGGCGTGGCGGCCGGTGCATCCCCACGGAGAGAGGGTGTCAGGGCGGAGGGCGCTCCCGAGGCACGTGACCTCTGACCTTAGGCTGCGAGCTGGCGAACCCTTGACTGCGTTCCTTCACTGGGACCCTTGGGCCTCCAGCTAAATATCTCCAAACACTGGGAGACGTTTAAGAACTTGGTGACGGAGCTAGCCTGACCCTGCTGAATCCCAAGGGCCAGGCACAAACCTAAGGAATGAACCAAAGAAATAAAGCACAATGGGTATTTTTTTTTCTTCCACCGCACCTCCCCACCCCTGTGAATCGCAGCCTCTCACCCGTGCTTCTTGGCGCGTGTATGTATATGTGTGTGTGTGTATGTGTGTGTGTGTATATATATATTTATTCCTGGGGGCTTTATAACTTTAGTTGAAAAGGAACTGTGTTTTCTCTGGGCAATTGAGAAACCCGTTCTCAATGCACTCCTTGGTTTTGATTCCAACATACTGTCGTGTGTTGAATAGTTTCTTAATTAACTTGACCCAGAGGGACTCGGGTCTGGCTTTTCTCAGTGCACATTTTCCAGAACTTTGTTTATTCTTCTGATGTTTCTTCTCCTTGGCTCAATTATTAGTTGTTTTCCTAGAAAAGGGGAAGGAAGAGCCAGTAGATCTACTTCAAGCAGTGAATTAGTTCCTCATACCGATTTCATTGCAGATAGAGGGGTGATGGCTTTTTTAAAATCTATCTTTTAAAAAAAAAAATTCTTTATTGATGAAGGTATTATATATGTGTCCTTATTCCCCATGACCCCCCAACTCCCATTCATGACCCCACCCTGGGGTGATGACTTTTAAGAGACACGGGCATGCACTGTCTAAAACCTGCAATGCTGTACCCCACACGGCGTCCAGTATCACACGGAGGGCTAAATGTGGAGTTGGCACTGGGGGTAAGATTTTTAGGGCTAGGAAGTTTAGGGTTGTTAGCCAACTCGCAGGGAGACGGAAAGGAAGGATGGTGGAGTCCACACCGTAGGAGTGATTCTGAGTAACGACCCAAAGAAACCTGTTGTCTGCAGTAATTAATGTAACTGCTGAGACTTTTTAAATTCCTGTCTCAGGTGAAGGGGCTCATCTGTCATACAGCCTATCAGTAGGGCTGATGATGTCAGTGTTCCAGTGGCTTCTAACAGGCATTAATTCCTGTTGGAAATGGATTCTCACTGGGACAATTGGTAAGATTTTAAAATATATATATAAATTTTTTATTGATTTTAGAGAGGAAGGGAGAGGGAGAGAGACATCAATGATGAGAGAGAATCATTGATCGGCTGCCTCCTGCACATCCCCTTCAGGGGATAAAGCCCGCAACCCAGGCATGTGCCTTTGGCTGGAATTGAACCTGGGACCCTTCAGTCCGCAGGCCAAGGTTCTGTCCACTGAGCCCAATCGGCTAGGGCGATAAGATTTCTAATTCTGTTTTTTCCCACTTGGTTGTACAGAGACTTAACCTCTTCATTGAAAAGCAGCAATGGGGGGGGGGGAGCTCTCTGACATACACGAACCCCCTGAGCTAGGCTGTTAAAGACACATTCCCTTTGTTGAGGAGGCCCAGGTTGAGGTCGTTCATAGTCACAGCCTGACTGCCCAGCGCGGAGAACTGACTTTAGGAGGCAGAGTTTGACGTCACTGTTGATAGCAGATAGATGAGGTTCTGTTAAAGGCTGGGCCTCAGGAGGTCTGTCAGTGGAAAGGAGAAGCTGTCGGAAGATTTCAGCAAATGCCTGGGTTGGTTTCTTTTGGTATATTGGCCTTGCACTTCCTAGTTCTTTGATAGCAGTCTTTTGGAGAAGTTGCAGGGTCCCTCCCTAAGCAGTCCCTTGCCATAGGCATGCAGTAATTCTTAAGCTTGCTTTAAGCAAGTATTGCCCAAGTGGGGCCCCGTGAAGACATTCTAAGCTGTTGCAGCCAACTAGTACACCCTGATAATGAATGTTAGAGCCCTAGAAAGCTTAGGTTAGTTGTGTGAACGCTTCTGAGTTCACTAGTAAACAGTTACGTGGTCCAGTCTGAAGCCCTGTGGACTGCAGACTTGGTGTCACCTCTAAAGCCCGATGCTTGCGCGTCTATGGGATGACAGTGTCCCTTTGGGGTTTGTGAACGTCTCCTCAGCAAGTTTGACACCAGGAACACTTGCTCTGCAAGCTGGACCCAGCCTGCACAAGCTGGGCTGGAAACGACCTCATTATGGAATGTATCCGTTCACGCTCTTGCTTGTTTGTTTGTTTGTTGTTATTGCTTTTGCTTTGCTTTAGTTTTGGATCCACATGCAATTCCTTGTGTGACTTCTGGGCCAGGTGAAGGAAGGGGAAATGCGTTCTCTTCATTTCTCCCTCAGAGAGCCAGTGCTTAGATTTTATATTTCTGAAATGCACTTGAAAGTCTCTCTTCAGAAGTTCTTCCCGAATTATCGTAGATTTCTTTTTGGCAGGAAGCATTTTCGTTGGAGACCTCAGCGTGGGGAGGTCTCCCTTTTCTGTTAGCTATTGGAGCTGCTATCTGTTGGAAAGAAGGTGAAACATGGGCGTTACAATCCCAGGGCTTCGCCCGCCTGAGGAGGAAGGGATTAGCAATCGCCCTCGCGGAGGTGCTCCTGGTCGTTCTGTTGGATGTGTTCCAGTTGACGGGATTCCAAAGTGGAAGCCGTTTTCCTGCTGCTGAAAAGAGGGTCCTGGAGCGGCTCGGAGTCAGCCTGGGGGGAGCTGCGGCCCCCACACGTGTCCAGATGCTCTGAGGCCCCACGGCACAGGGAGGTCCTGGACTTCTCATCCCTCGGGCTTCCGGCTGGCGTGCTCTGCTCACCAGCAAGGGCCTGCGACAGGGCTGAGTGCCAGTGAGACAGTGTGTCCCCTCCTGTGCGCAGCCCTGAGGAGTGTGAGGTGACAGGGCTGTGTGTGTCACAGGGAGAGCAGGCTTACAGGCCCAGCTGCTGGGACCCTTCCTTGGGACATCTCATTCCTTAGCTACAATTAGTTTCAGCATCGGAGCTGCACGCTGTACCTAGCCAGAGGCCCGGAACATCCCATGCAGAGGGGTAGCTGGGTGACTGTAGTTTTGGGTGCTTCGGGCTCCGAGATGCCAGCTTGTCCCTGGGCTGTGAGGTGGTCGTTTGCATCCCAGCCACAGGGTGAAAATGGCTCCGGGATCTGTGGGCACCGGCCTGTGCGTTCCCGGAGCTTCCTCGTCTGCCTCTCCTCTGGGACTTGGTGGGATGACAAAACAGCCTCTTCAGAGAGTGTGAATGGGGGTCAGAGACAGCAGGCAGGACTGTGTGATTGAAGGGGAATATTTCTGCTCCTGATCACTGTCTAATTGGAAGTCTCAGATTAGTCTAGAAACAGACCAAGTCACTTCCCAGACTTCCAAAAAGTAATGGGTAAGCTAACCCTCCCTTCCCAGGGGAAATGAAGTCACCACTCACTTCAGAAGCTGGTCCTAGCCCAGGATTGACTCAAATCAATGTGCCAAGGTAGAGAGAGCATGTTTTTACATAATGGTGTTCTTTCATTTCTCCCCCCAACCTGCTCTCCAAGACAGAATTCTGAGGCCCAGTAGTCTTTGTGCCATTTCCTGAGATTGCTTCTATCAGAGTAGTGAGTTCTCACCGTTCCCTGTTGCTCTTGTGTCCCACTCGCTTCTCCAGAGTCCCTGCAGTATGCAGACTGTGACCACCAGTATGCAAACTAGCTAATGACAGGCACATTTTGGGGAGAGGAAGTCAGGGGGAGACAGAAAAGAGGTATTTCTATAGCAGGTACCCTCATTATTTTAACTTTCTTGGAAAAGAACACCCCCCCCCCCCCACACACACACACACACACTGCATGTTTACTGAAAGGAGCATTGGAATGGAGTGTGGTGGTGGTGATCTGTGTGCTTCACAGTATTTGTCCAGGAGCAGGAATGGACGTGCACTTGCCTGTGTGAGGTGACTGGTGAGGCTGAGAGTTCCATCTGGCACTGGATTAGCTAAGCTAACCTAGTGAGCAGAACCCAGCTGAGTCAAAGGATATGCAAATCTGCAGGGTTTCTCTTTTGGTTCTTAAGGTCCATGTAGGCTCTCCCACTCTGCAGCCTCCAGGGTGCATGCAGTCATCCACCCAGCAAATACAGATTAAGCACCTACTGTGTGCCCAGTTCGGAGGTACATCCATGGGTGAGGCAGAGAGAAGTCCATGCCTTAGGAAGCTCACACCTTATTGGGAGACAATAATAGCTAATAGACGTTAGACAAGGAGAAATGCTGAGGAGAAAAACAGGACAGGAAGAATGTGTGTGGGGCATAATTTCACAGGGCAGTTTGGGAAGGTCTCCATGGGAAATGACATTTGCATAAAACTGTGAAAGAGTGGAGAGATTGAGCCAATACTCAGTCTGGGGTGAGAGACAGAGGGTGAGAACGCAATCAGAGAGAAC